GCTGTGATTTCTCTACGGTCAGCCAAGACAGTAGACCTAGAACACAGGTCACTGGACCCCAGCCCAAAGAGACGCTAGGCCTTTTTCTCCCCTTACTTGAGAGCCGTCAGACCTGCTTACCAGAGGGAGGCTAGGGTATGCCCCGTCAGCTGGGTTTGCTGCTGGAAGGAAGCAGCTTCCTCCTCCCTCTGCAGCCTAGGCCTCGAGAGCTGGTTCCAGCCCTTGTTCCCTTAGCCCTGGGGCTCAAGGCAGGACCATGGAAGTAGCTTGGGTAACATTCTTGCCAGGCCCTTGTGACATTAGAGCTAGAGCAAGTGAATGAGACTGGGACGGGAGGAAGTGTGTCCTCTGAGCTGGAGTGGCAAACCCTTTCTGGTCTGGTGCCTCCCTCTGAAGGGAGAGTTGGATTCAGCTGCTGAGTGTCACCAGGAGTGACTGGTCCCACAGAAGCAGAGCGATGAGGAGGGTGAAGTTGGTTAGGAAGTGCTCATGGGGGAGATCCTTCTTCTACCCTATTGGTTTCTCTGCTGTTACAGCATCAGGAGTAGGTATCTGAACTGCAAGGACTCTGGGGGTTACAGGGTAGGCAGAAGGGTGGCCAGCTCGATGGTCAGAAACAGGGTGGAGGTGATACCCTTCCTCCTACGGCCTCTTCTTGTCCTCCTCTTGGGGCAGGACCCCTCACCCACACAGCTCATGAAAGACTGACTTGTGGACAGGAGGGTGCAGGCTGTCACCCTGAGTATTGCAGCTGTCCTCTGCACACTCAGGTCTCACGGAGGCCTGAGTGTCTGGAGGCAAGACCGACTGACATTTTCATATTCCCTTTCATGCCCCATGCTCTTTGACACCCCAGAAATGGGTGGAAGCCTCTAGGAGACTGGCCAGGTGGTACCTGGGGCCTGTCCCTTCTGCCACCCACCTGAGGCTTAACATGTGTCCCTGATCTGGCCCCAAGTGTACTGAGGCAAAAGTTCTGTCCTTTACCCACAGCTGGCAGTTAGAGCTGTGGAAACTGAAGAACATGACAGTTTATCATTTTCCTTTTTCCTCATGCCCATTTTTCTTTTTCTTTCTTTTGGCTCCACCGTGCGGCATGTGGGATCTTAGTTCCCCGACCAGGGGTCAAACCCGTGCCCCCTGCAGTGGAAGAGTGGAATCCTAACCACTGGACTGCCAGGGAATTTCCCATTTTTCTTTTCCTCACTTGGCTGCATATGAGGAACAGAATGTTACCTGGCCAGTCAGTCAGAGGCTGCCAGACATACTCATGTGGCTCCAGAGGCCTGAGCATGTTGGGGAAGCAGGTGGGTTGGTCTGCATGTGTTGATCGCTTTCTTTTTTTTTTTTTATTTGGTTGTGCTGAGTCTTAGTTGTGGCAGGTGGGCTCCTTAGTTGTGGCATGCATGTAGGATCTAGTTTCCTGACCAGGGATCGAATCCGGGCCCCTTGCATTGGGAGCACGGAGTCTAAACCACTGTGCCACCAGGGAGGTCCCGATCGCTTTCTCAGGAGGTGCTGAATTGGACTTGGCCAGAAGTGTGGCCATGGGTGAGTGTGGAAGGCCTTGCTTCTCCTTTGTGAGCCCTGTTGGAGACCTCCAAGGGGCCACTATTCTGGAGGTCAACATAAGCCCCTGCCCCGCTGTCAGTGGGCTGGCTTGAGGACCACCTTCCTGTGTTTGTCCTGTTTGACTTCCCACTGCAGGTCCCTCAGTGTGTGAGGGTTAGGCTGGGTGCCATTGCACAGCCCGGTTCTCATGTCAGGACAGCTTGAGTCATGTTGTCTTAGGGGACCCACCTGCGCACAGTTCTTCAAAGATGGGGAGAGCTGGGGCCTGCCAGAGAGGGTGGGCAGGCCCTCAGACTAACGAGCCCATCAGCATTCCTCACACGGCTGCCTGTACAAGGTAATTGGAGAGGCAAGCGCCTGGGGGAGGAGGAGGGGCAGATCAGTCCGGCTCACATTGGTTATCATGGCAACAAGCAGCAGGGGTTGACAGCTGGTGTGAGCCTGTGTCACTCTGGAGGTGGAGATGCTTAAGCCCACAGTGCGTGTCTAGTGAGAGGCCCATCTGAGACTGCACTGGACTGGTTTGGAACTGCAGGGGGCCTTGGTTTGTTTGGCTGGGTATGGATATGAAGTGGGGTTGCCTCTGATCCACCCGTGTTCAGGTTCCTGACTTGTGAGTCCAGGTTCGCCACTTTTTATTCTGTCATTTGCAGAGGAGTTGCCTCTCTTCTGGCTTGACTGGACCAAGGGCCAGGGGCAGAATCCATGTCCCAGCCTTGTTTGGCTGGCCTGGGCTGGCAGCTCTGTCTTGGAGCTGTCCCACCAACAGGCTAGGCTGAGCTGCAGTGTGTTCCCCAGTGATTTCTCCTTTTCTTGGAGACCATAAAAGCCGCAGTGCAGCACAAGCACAGGTATTCCCATGACCTGTTCCAGCTCTAGGTTTGCTTTGTCCATCAGTGGCCCCATTATGCCTGCATCTTTCCATTTCTCAAATGAGTGACAGGGGCCACAGTGTGTCTGTGGTCTAGATTGGCTGGCCCCTCACAATGGCTCTTTGTGTTCAGGTGGCAGCAGCAAGCCATGGGGCTTTCTTGAACTGAGAGCCCACAGCTACTGTGGCAACTGTCTAGTCCAGTCACCCTGCATGTCAGCCTCAGTATCAGAGCCCTGAGTTACACAGGCCTGCAGGGAAATGTGGACCAGGCTGCCTGCGTGGGAGGGCTGTTGCTCCTTGCTCTCCCTCACTGCTCTCAGACAGCACGGGATTTATGGGCCCTACCTGCCCTCCTCCTGGAGGCCAGTTGCTTGCCAGGAATCACTGGGAGCTGGCCCATTGGTGAGGAGGACCCTGTTAGGTGGCTGTTTAGAAATCTGGGCTTTCTGTGACTTTCTTCCAGTTCACCTCAGTAAAAGTTGAGATTTGCCTTCCAAAGGGCAAGTAAGGATAACAACTACAAGTAGCTCCACCCCTTCTTCAGGACTCCAGATGAGTCTTTTCCTTGTTTCCTACCCCACCCCACCCACTGCCTCCCGGTACATCGGCATCAGTGGGGAAAGGCATGGGGGAAGAGTTGGGGGTCAAGGAAGCCTGACTGGGGGTGGCGATAACTGTGTTAGTGTGTCTGCTGAGTGGGCATGCAGCTACCCCAAATGTGGGCTCTCAGACTTTCCGGAGCCCCTTGGAGAGTGTGTTCAGGGGCTCCTCGAGGTGAAGGGCACCACGGGGTAGAACAGTCAGACCTCTCACCAGACAGGAAGGAGGGTGATAGGACCCCTGGCATCCCAGCCGAACCACCTGGAGCAGGCTCAGCAGAAGTCCTAGCCACCCACCCTTTGGAGTGTGTCAGAGCCCGTGCCAGAGTGCTCCCAAGAGATGCAGGGACTCGGAAAAGTGCTGCGTCTGCCCTCCTTCAGCAGAGTAAGTCAAGGGCCCGGGCATCTGAGCCCCACATCCTGAAAGCAGCTGCAGGAGAGGGCACCCATCAGGTGCCATGCATGGGTTGTTTACTTGCTGAGCCTCTATCTACTGAGTGCCTCCTGTATCCCTGGCACCAGGCACTGGTGAATAGCTAAGCATGGTCTAATGGGAACAATAAACTTGAAATTATTCGAATAGTTGCTTAGCACTGGGGGCTAAGAGAGGGAGTGTGAGCAAGTGTCCTTTAACCTGAGAACCTGAGGATTCAGCCAGGTGAAGACAATTTGTGCAGGCTGAGGCCCTGAGACAGACGGCTGTTCGGTGTGTGGCTGAGATGAGGCAGCCGTGGGTGCATGTAGCAGAGCAGGCTTTGTGCTGAGGGAAGAATGTACTAAAATGAGGCTGGCACAGGGTACTGCCAGGAGCCCCTGTGTGGCTTAGAGAGGTCATGCAGACATGAGAAGCACCCCTGAGAAGGGTCCTAATCCCTGCTGGGCTTCCAGGATCCCCCTGCCATCCCAGCAGATGGAGAAATCTAGTTGCCTTGAATTGTTTCCTTTTCTCCTCATGGCTGAGAGGCTGAGGCTGAGGCTGATGCAGAGAATGCAGTGATTATTTTGGCCACTTTTTCAGTTGGAAGGGAGGGCAGACCCTGTTTCTAAGGACTAGGAAGTGGCCCAGTATGGGCATCCAGTGATGGGAGCTTAAGTCCGGCTCAAGATATGGTGGAACGTTTGGGTCGTTCTCATTAAATCGCCCTGAGTTATGGTGGTCCTGGGGTAGGTTGGATGGTCTTGACGGGGGCCACCTCCTTGAACCAGGCTTTGAGTCCAGGGCGCCTTTGAAGTTTGCTCCTCAGGGAGGGGGTGGATCCTTCTCCTCCTATCACACTCCATGTCACTCAGAGAGCAGCCTCTGCTCAGTGGCCTGGGTCAGCACTGGGTGGGAAGGGGAGGCCAAGAATGCTCTACATGAGAGGAGCTGGGCAGTTCCTCTCTCTAGGGGGAGAGTGCAGGGCTACTGGACAGGTCTGAGTGCTGTGTAGGTGACATCATCGGGATGTTCAGGGCAATGTTGAGTGTGCTTGCTCTAATGCTTGTCCTTGGCTTCTAGCCCTGGCCCAGTGTGTCCAACCTGGCCAAGGACTTCATTGACCGCCTGCTGACGGTGGACCCTGGCGCCCGTATGACGGCACTGCAGGCCCTGAGGCATCCGTGGGTGGTGAGCATGGCAGCCTCTTCATCTATGAAGAATCTGCACCGCTCCATCTCCCAGAACCTCCTCAAACGCGCCTCCTCACGCTGCCAGAGCACCAAATCTGCCCAGTCCACGCGTTCCAGCCGCTCTACACGATCCAACAAGTCTCGCCGAGTGCGGGAGCGAGAGCTGCGGGAGCTCAACCTGCGCTACCAGCAGCAGTACAATGGCTGAGCTGCCAGGCTGGGGTGCTGACATGGCATGGCCCCAGCCTGGCCACACACTGCTGTGCCATCTGGGCCCACTGCCCTCTCTAGAGATAGGTCTGTATGGTCTGTGGTAGGTGAATGGCCCTAGCCCCTTCTCTGTGCCTTCAGCAGTCCCCATCTTCACCCTGGGCCTGAGTCTGGTGCGACAGAGTGGAGGGAGCCCTGGGGCATACGAGCCCCCTGAACGGGGAGCCTGGTCTGGCACTAATGCTCCTTTTGCTGGACAGCTGCTCTGGTACATGTTGGGGGAAGGGCAGGACCTGGCCTTCAGTCTCCTCACCTCTTGGCTCTTCCCTAGACCAAAGGAGCATGCAGTGCCAGGTTGAGGGTGTCCTGTGGTCCCAGGACTCTTTGGGACAGTTACTTCTGGAATCCCCCCTTTCCTCTACCAAGCCTTCCTGTCTGCCCTCCCCCCGCCCCACATTCCATGGCATCCTGATCCTCATGATTATGCTCCAGTGAGAGGCCCAGGTAGACCCACAGCTTGTGCCTTGGCTGGACTCTCAGCCCCTGGCTAAGTCTAAACAGCCTCCCACCTCCCAGCCAAGATCTGTCTTCCTTCATGGTGCCCCCAGGGACCCCTCCCGGCCCCAGGACTTGCCAGGATCTCTTGTGGTAGGACCATGGAATGGTCCTTGGCCCTCTGTACTGTGTGGCCATGTTGGTAGCAGGCTTGCTCCAGGCTTCAGCCTCTCTCTGACTATGAGAGTTCCTGCCCACCAGCCTACTGCACTCAGTGCCTTCTTTACAGAGCCTACTATCACCTCCCTCTCCCCCTTGGATGCCCATTCTATTCCCCAGGTGCCTCCTTCCCAACTGTTCGGGGTTAAAAGGAGCCCCACTGCTGCTACCTGGGGGATGGGGGCACCTGGGCCAAAGCAAAGGGCAGGGGCTTCCGAGGGAGAGCCCCATCAGGATTCCAGTGTCAGCCTTGGTTCCACCCTTGGTGTTGCCTCTCCCTTCAGATGCTGCTGTTCCCTCCTCTGCAGCTGCATGAAGGAGCCATCTAGTGTCTGGCATGAGTATGGGCGGCCGAGGAATGAGCACCATGCTCTCCCTTTATCCTCCAAGAGGAAGTCGGAAGGAAGGAGCTGCTGCATTGAGGGAGGGTCCCCGGGGTGCTCAACCCTATCCCCTTCTGCTGAGCTTCTGCACAGCTCCCCCTGGAACTTAGCCATACTGTGTGACCTGCCTCTGAACCCTGAGTGCCTGGGGCACTGACCTTCTCACGGTGGCCTTGCTCAGTCCAGCCTGTCCCTGCTTCTTTTCACAGCATTACCCTTCCATTCTGGGCCCCGCTGAATCCCCGTCTGGAGGGAGCCCCTGCGAGAGGTGGGTGGAATTGGGTGGCTGCTTTCCCAGAGGTCTGAGCCAGACCATCCCGCGTCAGTCATGGTGCCTCCCCACCACCATAGACGGGGCTAGAACCCAAGCCCTGTCCCTCCACAGCTGCTTTCAGTGGGTGGGAAGGAGCCAGGGCCCAGCTTTAGCCTTAGCTGGACTGCAGGTCCCCTGCCAGCAGGGAGGGTTTGGCTCTCAGTTCCTCCCAGTGGGTTCCCTTGGGCTAGGCCCTCCTCTTTTTGCATGTGCCACCTCCAGTGGGAAACCAAGCCAAAAGAGACCACTCTGGGCCAAGTCATTCGTGCCTTGTACACCCCCTCCTCCTGTCTCCAGTTCTCCTAGCACAAGGCAGTGGAAAGCCCAAGCCCCATGGCCTCAGAATTCCCCCTACTTCCCCAAGTGCCTCTGGGGATTTATTTCCTCTTTTGGCCAGGATGGGCCTGGTCCTGAAGGTAGGATGGAGGGAGTTTGGAGACTTGGGCCTTTATGCCATGGACTGTAGATGGAGAATGTGCAGTTATTTATTTTGTGTACTCAAGTTTGTAAATGTATCCTTCGTACTCAATAAACAGGCTGCCTTCCCCAGGGAAAGCTGCCCATTCATTCCGACAGCCCAGTCTCTTGCTGTGGACAAGAGGTTGCCCAGGAGGTGGTGGGGAGATGGGAAGAGCCCAGCCTGGTCACGGCTAGTCTAGGAGGATCCTGACACCTCAACACCTGCTGTGCCAGAAGACAAACGCCGCTTGGGGAGTGGGGCTCCCAAGAGCCTCTCTTTTTTTTTTTTTGCGGTACGCGGGCCTCTCACTGTTGTGGTCTCTCCCGTTGCGGAGCACAGGCTCCGGATGCGCAGGCTCAGCGGCCATGGCTCACGGGCCCAGCACCTCCAAGGCATGTGGGATCTTCCTGGACCGGGACATGAACCCGTGTCCCCTGCATCGGCAGGTGGACTCTCAACCACTGTGCCACCAGGGAAGCCCTAGCCTCTCCTTTTCCCTGAAACAGGAAGATAGACAGGCATACACGAGAGGACAGAGCCTGGGGTCTTTATTGGACTGAGATGGGGAGAGGGCCTGTGGTGGGCTTGGTTGTAGGCTATGATTGATCCAGGTACTGAACTTGCTAACCCGAGTGTACGTGGCAGGCGCGCGCACGTTGCAGTCACTGGCGCCCCAGGAGACAATACCAGTGAGCAACCACATGTCCCCCTTCTGGCAGACAAGCGGGCCTCCAGAGTCACCCTGATGGAAGGAGAGGGGAGAAGTTAGTGTGGAGGGTGGGAGTGTCACAGGACAGTGCAGAGGACAGGACAGGGTGCCAGTGCTCACCTGGCACGAGGAGGTCCCAAGGCCCCTGCACAGATCATAGAGTTGGTGATGCATGAGCCCCAGTATTGCTGGCCACTGACTCACGGTGACCAGGGGCAGAATCACCTGCTGCAGGCGTGCAGGAGTCACACTGCCTGTGGGCCGGGAGTGGGTGGTTAGGCCCCAGATGACTTGTCCCCACCCTGCTCTCCCACCCAGAGTTTTGGCCCGAGTTCCTACCCACACCGCTGAGGCGGCCACAGCCAGTGTGACACGTGAGGCCTTCAGGCAGCACCTCATTTGAGGAAGCCAGGCAAACTGGTGAGATGTGTGTTGTGTACTGGGCTAGGGAGGCGATCTCTAGTAGCATCATATTGTTGTTCGTGGTGGTGGGGTTCCAGAAAGGGTGCGTGATGGCCTGCGGAGCCAGGAAGGGGCCATGCAGGATGGGGATGGGCACAGGTCCCCAGGGTGATAGGTGCTGAGGGGACTAGGCCAGGGCATGCTCTGAATTCCTCACCCCCAGAGCCCACACACCTACACTGCCCACTCTGACCCGCAAGATGGACAGAACCTGCAAAGGCTCAGCGCTGGATGATAGGTCATACTCGCCCAGGATGACAAAGTGGCAGCCAGAGCTGCAGTGAGAGTGGGGTTGGGCAGCCACAAGGAGGGCAGAGTGACAAGAGAGGGGCCTCCAGGGCAAGGGGGTGGGGAGGTGGGGGCTGGCGGGGGGTGCGGGTAGAAGGAAAGCACTCACACAACATTGCAGTGGGCAGCAGAGACCACCCAGGACTGACTGATGAGGGAACCACCGCAGAAGTGGAAGCCGTTGCTGTCCTGGGGTCAGGGGTCAGGAGTGGGGGTGGGCCCAGGCTACACCCAGGCATGAAACACCTGAAACCCTGCCCCACCCCCAGGGTGCATGTACCTGCAAGGACACCTGCCAGGGCCACGAGCTCAGCACTGCATTCTCCCCATTGACAATCCTCTGGCTGAAGCTCAGCACCGGTCTGATGGCAGGAACGCCGCAGCCTGACCATTGGGCTGGTGAGGACCTGCTTCCCACATCCCAGCACACCTCTCCTCTTCTCCTCCTGGGTGCTCCCAGGCTGTGCCCCCCAGAGGGGTCCAAATCAAGAGGGCTCATCACTACCCCTTCTCACCCTGAGCACCTCTGGGCCTCTATAGCTATCTCAGTTGCCCCCATCCAACCAGCCTCCAAGTTCTGTCCATTCTTCCTCATCTCTCTCCAACCTACTCCCCACCATTCCCCAACTCCACCCCACCCCCGATCCCAGGCCATTTTTCTCCCTGTCCCCAAGAATATTCCTGTCTCCTTCCTAGCCTCTTCACTCCCTCCAGACCTCAATGGTCCATACCCCACATGCAGCCAGAAGGCTCTTCCTAAACTACATGTCCAACCTTTGCTTCTCAGCTTCCTAAACCCTCCCCGGCTCTTGGGCCCAGCCCAAGCTCCTGTCCCATTTGTGAGACTGGCCCCTGACCCCCTCTTGCTTCCTCCCAGACTTGCCACATCCTTTCTCCTTTGCCCACTCTGTCCACCTGCTTCCCTTCTAGCCAGCCTGGCCCCTGCCCTGAGCAGGAAGCCTGGGCTGCTGCTGGGAGCTGGGTTGCCCTAAGGCTGTTCAGTCAGGGCTGGGCCAGGCCCACTCACCCCAGGAGGAGCCAAGGAGGACCAGGGTAAGGATGAGGCTGAGCAGCAACACTGTGGCAGGCGTGACGTTGAGAACTGGGCCTGGCTTTATGGTTCTCTTCATCCTTCAGCCAAAGTCCCAGGACTGAGGCCAGGCAGCTGTGGAGGTTCAGCTCCCTGCCATGCTCTAGGCAGGAGGAGGGTCTCTTTAGGTCAAGGTCCTCCACTCAGGCCTTGACTTATCAGACAGAGCCCAGGTGTGAGGCTCTCACCTCCTCCACCTCCCAAAGCCTGGCCCCTGACTGGATCCCTGAACCACCTCACATCCCAAATGTTGAGCACCAGGTACCAAGGACTTGTGGTTAGACTTAATGGTAACCACCTGGTGGCTGGGATCAGGGAAGTCTCCCAGGGCTATCAGGAGCACCAAACTCACAGAAGCCTGCTCAGCACCCAGGGGTGTTCCTGACTGGTAGAGGGAATGTCCACCTGCACCGGCTCTGCTGTGGAAAGGCCAGGGCCAGGATGGGGGTGCTGGCGGGTTGCAAATCCTAACATATCACCTCAGTGATTCCTCATCAACTTGGAATGGGTGTCAACGGTTTGCTCAGGGAGATGCTGACTCTCCCGCCACATGGTGTTTGGACCCAAACCTTCATCTGTCTGGCTCCAAAGCCCACACTGTTCGTGATGAGATGATACACCTAGGAGGGCCCTTGTGCACAGGAGGGCAAGGTATGAGCCCTTGGTGACTGGCCGATCCTGGATGGAGATCGGGGTGGAAGGACGACAGCCGTCAAATCTGTGACAGCCTCCAGGCCTTGGGGCTCCCATGGACAAGCCCCCAGTATCTACAGTCCATTCACTGTAGAGCCCCAAGGTGAGCCTGAACTGAGGGAGAGAAGACACCCCTGTGTGCAAAGTTGCAACAGGTAAGTTGGCTTGCCTCCTTCTAGGGGTGTGAGGGCTTTGGCTGATTCAAGAACACATTAGTCAAAAAAATGAGTTAATTGCTGACTAGAGGGAAGGATAGATAGACACATGGTGAAGCAAATATAACAAAATACTAATTGTAAAGTCTGCAGTGGGTATATAGGTGTTCAACTTTTTTCCAGATTTTATGTTTTAATAAATAAAACATAAATAATAATAAAATACTGAGGGAAAAAGCGTAACTAGGGACCCAGGGATGTCCAGCCTGGAGTAGGCCCTCCCCAGGGGTTGGGCAGACTCTCTCTAACAGTTCCAAAGCTCCAGGGGAGCTCAGCCATTCTCTCCCAAGGCAGGATGCTCCCACTAGCACCCTGCACCTGGGCTGACACTCAGTGGGTGCTCAGCAAAAGTCTGCTGGATAAACGTGTCATGTCATCTCTCCCTACGAGCCCTGTGATCCCTGGCACCCAGGGATCACAGCCCAACACGTGCAAACAGAAGCTCAGCATCATGTTAGCACCTCAGGTGTGCCTGGTCATCAGAGGGGTTTCACAGATAAAGGTGTTGTAGGGGTGAGGAGTGCGCTTGTGAGAACTTGCCCTTGGAATCAGGGAGCAGCTCCTCCACCAGCATTTTAGCCGTCAGTGGGGATGGGGGTGGTCTGACTGAGAGCTGTGGGCTGTGTCCTTGGCCACTGGTGAGCCAGGTAAAGGCTCTATGTGGGGGCAATACATAGGGCCTTTTGGGTTGTACAACAGCCCTCAGTGGACTAGAGGGCAAGAGCAAGGCATGGGAGTGGTAGGGGAGCCTGTGTAGTGTGGAGAGTCAGGAGGGGGGCTTTCCACTTTGAGCCTGTGATACTTGCCAGGGCTGGGGTTCTGGAGAGGCAGATGCCTAAGGTGATGGGTGAAGTGCACCCCTTAGGCTAGGCACTGAAGCCATGGGAGGAAGTGCCCCCTGCAGGGATACCTTAGGCACAGAGCCCTGCTGGCTGCTTGTCCCCCTCCACCCAAGAAGGACACAGCCATCTGTCTAGGTATTTGTGTTTTCTGGGTTTATTCCTCCTTGTTCCAAGCTCTAAGCCTCAGCCTACTTCACTCCACATCCATGGCCTGCACAGTTTCCTCCAGCAGCTCCAGGGTCAGTGGCCTCACTGTCTCCGACAGGACAGCTGTGGTCCCAGGGGCAAAGCGGTACTGGCTGGACCTGGGAAGGAGAAAGGATGACCTCATCAAGTGGCCCGTCTTCTCTTTGCAGCCCCCTATTCCCCTTGCTACCACCCCATCCTCCCCTGTGACTTCCCCCATCTCCTATGCTCCTACCTCTCTATAGGCTCTGTGGGAGAACTCAGTGTTCGCAGCAGCTTGGCGCTGGTCCCAGTGATCACACATGCATCCACACTGCCCCCAGAGCCCAAGTCACCCAGGATCCCTGCAGTGATGGCTTCCACCAGCAGCTCCTGTGCTGCCTCCAGCTGTAAAGATGTGTGTGTGTGTGTGAGTCCTAATGGACCCTTTAGTATCACCCTCAGGCTACAGCCTGGAGACCATTAAATCTTGAAGGCTGGACTATTTACCATTTGCTCACACCCAAACTCCTCTCTCTCCCTACACCCCCATCTCCACCTCAGGCTCCTCTACCCTGGTTTCAGTATCCCTCTTTCCAGAGACCCCAATGTTCCCACTGCCCCCATCTTCACAAACTTGTCTGAGTCACACTTGTGGCTCTGCTTCCAGTGGCCTATTCACCCACCCACAATCCCTGGCTCACTGCCTTTTTCTTTCTGGGCCATAAGCACCTATAAAGTGACATATGCCTTCTGCTTCCATCCGCCCTAAACAAAAATCCAGACTCCAGACCCCACCTGCTGTTCCCTTCTCCCTCAACACCAAACGGCCCTCTCTGAGTTTTGACTTCTGGGACAGTCCAAGCTTTGGCACTGTTGGAATAGCACTTCACCCTCACTCCACTGGCCCCTCAGTCTCCACTCAGTCGTCACCTCCGAGAAGCCTAGCTCTAGAGTAGGCCAGGGTACCTCTGCGTTTCCCCAGCTCCCGGGTGTGCACTTCCCACCAATGCACGCGTAGTGGCGGGGCGGGGGGAGATGTCGCTCACCGTCATGTTCGGCTGGAACCGGTCCTCCAGCACTGCCAGGGCCGCATCCTGGCCGGAGCCTGCAGGCAGGAAGGGCATCTGAGGTCAGCCGCGGCCTCCCAGTAGCGGGATAAACGTTGAGGTCCCACGGGCGGGGTTCGCGGGAAGGGGGCGGAAGCGCTCACCCAGGGCCGTGAAGGGCAGACGGCTGTAGGAGCCGTGGGGGTGCACGCAGTAGAGCTGCGGTCCGGTGAAGTCTACGCCGCCCACAATCAGCGAGGCGCCCACGTATCCCCGGTACCTTTTCGCGGAGTGGGCGCGGTCAGTCGAACGCACAGGAATCTAGGTCCCGGCCCTCCGCGATACCGCCCTTGCACCCGAGCCCCGCCCCTTCCCGTGGTCTGGCGCCCCGTGACCAACAGCGTTCCTTCCTGCCACTCTCTTAGCTCCTCTTAGGCCAGCCTCTTCCGGTCTCTCGGACCTCGAGGCCCCGCCCTTTCTCCTGTCAAGCCTCCTCTCAGCCCTGCCCTCCCCACAACTGCCCCTCCCCAGGATCATTTTAGCCCCGCCCCAGCACCGGAAGA